TTATAATATACACTATAAATCACAGTGATTCACAATCTCTATAATTTCGCTCTCTAGGAGTGCAAAACACACACTTTACGGCTCACTAGCCCGAAACTAACAGAATCATAAATTACACAGAAATCACCGTAACTACTGTTCGATTAGCTTCTGGTTTTTCTGCCAGGTTTATATACTAACAAAGAGGCATCTCCAATATTCGCGGAGCTCCCCGATTATTCGAGAAATTCACCACGCATGCTCCCAGCGTCACGTGACTTCCGCTGTCGTAACAAGTACTTCATATATTTTGCAAGAGATTTTAAACCCTTTTTCTCTATTATTGATATAATGCCATAACTGCTTAAATTTTCTGATACCAAATGAATTAATATTATTTGTTGATTAACCATCCACAATTCGTAGATTAAATGACATAAAAATGTATCGATTATACAAACAAGGTTTCATTATGGTAAAATGAAATTTATTTTTTGCGGAGGGACCATTTTTTCTTATACTGATAACCCAACTTTTATGTGTTTTGTTTAACGAAACAAAAATTGTTGCTGCTGAGTTCAGGTTTCAGTAAGTCATTTCGTTTAGGTGTTAGTTTTTGTGAAGAGATGTTAATAATGAATTATATCACGAATAGTAAACAGCGCCACTAGGGAGTATCCTAAAATTTGCATAAACTTCCTGTCAGGTTCATTTCGTTGCTTTTATAAAATTAATCAGGTTAGATGTGTAAAGTTGGATATTTTCGTTAACTTATTGTAGAAAGTTTGTTATAATCACTCTTTTAATGCTGAACAAAATTTTCAATTTATTTGTATTTTAAGATAGCGAGAGCAGCATCTGAATAGAAATAATAAGTTACAGAAGGTTTCTTACCAATACCATATTCAAATTGAAATGGCCGGAAGATTACCCGCAATTGTGATAGATAATGGAACTGGGTAAATATGAGTTCTTATTAGTTCATTAAACTTTTGTACTAAGATTTAAAAGAAGTAAAATTAATACATTAATACAAGTTGTTTTTATTTTACCTACTGCTATAAATAACCACGTATTAAACATTATGATTAAGGTAGTGGACAAGCTTTTTACGTTTCATTATGATTATCGCGGTTTTTGTAAAATTGCCATAAGATATAAAGCTTGAAATCGTGTAACACTAACAGTCACGCCCAATACTAGTTACAGTTAATGAGGTATGTGGGAATGTAGCCTTAAGAATATAAAAAAAAATTCCACAATTGTGTTGATAGGGAAAACAAAACCAATCATTTCCCAAATTTTTAACGTAACCAAATCTACAGGCAACGAAGGATAATTTAAACCACCAAGGATGCTCTTCCCACACCCACCCTTGGGAAAGGTAAACTTCTAAGCTTGCACTTTATATTTCAGCAAATCGTCAATTCCACTCTTAAAATGCCCAATGCTGCCAATGGCATCTCATTCCATTAGTCAGTCATTTTGTTAAAAAAATAATGTTGTAACTGGAGCATAACCTCATTTTCTAAATCTTGTTGTATGATCTTCAGAATAACATAGCATCTAAGAATAACAAGGGACCCGTTGGTCAATTGAGGCCATCCTATCCATGGTGATTACAATGTCGGGCAAAATGACTGAGTCCATATAAAAGTAATGATGTAAATATGACCACTATGATAGAATTATATATGTATATTAACTGTTGTTGCTAATTCAAAACAGACAAATTTGCCTTATAGTTTGACTGACCATAAGTAGCTCATAAGTACACATAACAGTGTTTTACTCTGTACTAAGAACATGGTCTAATACAACATTTTCCTAATTGAATCTTTAGTTTAATATACGTATATACAACTTGCATGCACACACGAGCACCGAGTCAGTTTAGCTTAGGACTAACAATATTTATACAATACTGTTATATTAAACTTCTGTGAAATTAAGTCAAAAACTAAAAGTTTTAGTGATAACCAAACTTATATTTTGGAAATTTTTCTGTATCTTTGCAACCAAATCCATGAAACAAACAAGTCATTTCAGTGTTTCAAATTACTCAGAAAAACTTCAGCTATTCTGATAATTGTCATTAATGTTAGTAGGTAAGTGCAGTATTTGTTGGCTGTAATATGCTACTCAAGTTGGTTCAGTAAAGGAAGTTTACTCATTCACTGTTCACCTTTCGGTTGTGAATTTGAGTTTCCAAATATACATTATATTTAGAAAAAAAATTTATATTATTTGCATTCCCATAAAGAACAATTATATTTCTAAGGAAAACCATACAAGTCTTAATTATTCTTCATCATTATTAATCAGACAAGCTATATGAAATACCTAAAATAAATGTGAACACCAGGCTATTTGCCTAGTTCAGGGTTACTGATGGGGGTAACAAGTTGTGTTGGATGATTAGTGGAACTCACTAATTGATAATTGTAAGGCTTATTCATTGATTATATTTAAGCATTTGATTATTCTCACATGAGACTTAAATAGTTAATTCCTTATATATTTGAGAGAGACTTAGTTGAAAATTTTATTTTGTAATTGCTAATTGGCAGGGTGTGCAGTAGTTGCCTTTTATTAAGAATTAAATGCAGTATGAAACTCCTCCAATTATATCTTCAACTGTCACAAGCAAACTAAATTTGAAAAAAGTGTATCATCTCTCCACCAAATATAATAGTTAATCAATGAATTGTTTAGATTCTTTTGCTAATACTGTACTTCCAACATCGAAATCCTAAAATAAAAAAATTAAGACACCGCTTCCAACGGTATTGAGAGAAGCTAACAGGTACAGTATTTCAGATAGAGCTGCTGCAGCTCTTGCCTCGGCTGTTTTGGAAGATATGGGCATTATTCAAGAAAATAACAATGCTAAAATTGTTGATAAAAAAAACAAACAAAAAAAAAAACAACAAAATATGATGTGAATGAGAAAAATACCAAGAAACATTATTGACTTCTGATGAATCAAATTGTATTAAATCTATCTACTTTGATGAAAAAAAAAGATACAACTAAAATTTTTATCATTAAAAATGGGCAAGAACGTTATAAATGTGTAGTCATGGAACAGCACATAACTTTGGTCGGTGAACCTGAATCAATTTTCATGGATCACATTTCTACTTCTTTGGAACATTAGGATGTATAAAAAAAATTCAATGGTTTGAAGATAACCAAATTTCATCTGATCATGTATTGCTGTAGGCTGTGACAGTACATATGTCAATAGTGGAAAAAAGCTGCAGTTATGTGGCTACTTGAATTGTATTTAGGAAGACTTGTTCATTGGTTAATTTGTTTGTTAGATGCCAATAAGTTACCCCTGCATCATCTAATTACACATATTGATGGAGTAACACTAGGACCATCAGTTTTTTCTGGTGCTCTTGGAAAGAAACTGAAGACTTGTAAATCATTGCCTTCAGTTAACTCTGTTTCAGTGAAAATTATAGAGCCATTACTGAAAATTGAACATCCTGAGGATCTTGGTATAGATAAAAAATATTTGTATGACATGTGCAATGTGGTAGTGTCAGTTCATTGGCCAAGAGCACTTGCTTTACTTGACCCTGTACAATGAACCATTCTTGCTGGTTAACAACAGCAAACAGGATTTTGTGCCTTTACATTGTAACTGCTAACCCATCCAAGAAGCTTAGTTTATTAGTGAGATATGTAATTGAAGTGTATGCAACAGTTTGGTTTAATATCAAGAAAAATCCCTCATGCAGCCATGGTTCATTGCACCTTTTTCTACTTGTAAGTAATCCAGAGAAATGCATATTTTGCCAATCTAGAAAATTCACTGCTTGCAGTGCTTGGAGATGATTCTAAGGCTATCAGGCAACTTACTTTTTGTGGAATATTAGCTGCTCTATGTACCTCAAATTCTAGCACAATGAGACAAATATTAATATGGAAGCTCAACATTACACTGAACTAATAATGTGGACTGAGAGTAGAGCCACCAATTACAAAAAAAGGGGGGGGACAATGATCAGTTGGTGTTTTTCATTAATCAAGATGACACGCCAGTTTCAAGTTCAGCATGCTGTGTCACACACAAGCAGCAATCGCATACTCTGCCGATAATGATATGAGAAATTTATATATTTGATGTACCCTACTGTATATGAAGATTAAAGTATAAAAAAATAAATACATTCCATTGTTTTTTGTGTTTTTTTAACCCTCTCCCTTTACATAAGCAATTGTTTATTTGAAGCAGGAGGACTTATTAAATTTGTATTTTATTAATTTCCTGTTTTATATAACATTGAATTCTGCATTAACATCAGTTTATGGTTTTTGAATACACTTATTTACTACTTACGCAAGTAGGTATGAGTGAAGCATATCCTTCTAGTATTATTGAGAATGGAGTAGTATTTATCCTAAGTTTATTTTTTTTCTTTTGAGTGACAGTGTCTTAACCTATCATCCTGTTTTACTCGTATGAAATTCTCTTCTAATTCTGTACACTGAACTAAAACAACCAGTTCCTATTGTCAAGTTTATGAACATTAGCTTCATACAAAATACATGTAGTGTGTATTGCATGGGATACTTGGGTGCTTTAGCATTACTTCCTGTGAATCACATGTGATGCATAGGGGGTAGGGTAAAGGTGTTGAAAAATTCTGTTCTTGCAGTTGAAACCATATTGCTCTTTAAAAACAACTGGAAAGGAACTATAGCACCCTCTTTTCACACGAATTGTCCCCCTTTCTCTCTAAGTCATTAGAAAAATAAGGCTTACAGGATGGAAAGAAACTGTTTTTCATATCTTGCTACCAATTAACAATTTCTAATTAGGGAAATGAAAAAAACATGTGGTGCAACTAAGCTTTACTGCAGCTGTGTCTCCAGACTTGCATTTCTTTTTGATGCACATGTTTGGTAAAAATTTTGGTAGTGTTTTGGATATTCTTCAAGTAACCTAAATTTAAAGTCAAACAATGTAAGAAAAAAAAATAATTTCATTTAATTTTAACATAATGTGTTGGGACAACATGGGCCCTATTGATCCATTTTGACTCTTCCATCCTCTAACCTAAATTAAAAAATCTTAAAGCCAGCACTTATCATTCATATACTTATCTAGCTTTTTTAAAACTCACTCAAATTTACTTCATCTACAACATCTGAAGGCAACTCATTCCAAAGGCCAACCACCCGGTTAGAAAAATAAAACTGTCTTTGCTGAAGATGACTCCTACCTTGCCAAAAGTTATATTTATGTCTCCTAGTCTTACTATTCTCCCTGTTAAGTATGGAAAAAGATGATGCATCAACACTATCAATTCATTTTACAATCTTAAACACCTCAATTAGATCCTCCCTAATTATTCTTTTTTCAAGAGAAAACAATTTGAGACATTTCAGCCTCTCCTTGTATGACAACCCCTCTATCCGAGGCATCATTCTAGTAACCCTTCTCTGAACCCTTTCCAACAATTCAATGTCTCTCCTAAGGTAAGGAGCCCAAGACTGAACACAATATTTCAAATATGGCCTAACCAGTGACCTGTACAATGAAATTATAGCCTCTTTAGACTTCTATTCAATATTTCTGTAGATACAACTTAAAATCCTATTTGCCCTACCACTAACAACAGCACACTGCTTGGATGGCTTTAGACTGATCAACTATTACACCAAGATCCCTTTTCTTCACAACACTTTTAAGGTTATTCCCATCGAAATTATACTTGTGATTCAAATTATGATAACCCACATGTATTACCTTGCATTTATTATAATTTAAACCCATCTGCAAATTATTTGCCCAATTCACTAAATGATCTAAATCTTTTTGTAAATCAGCAGCATCCTCTTCACAGCTAGCAACACCAAAGACCTTATTTGCCCAGTTCACTAAATGATCTAAATCTTTTTGTAAATCAGCAGCATCCTCTTCACAGCTAGCAACCCCAAA